TACATACACATCAGAGGAATACAATTTCAACTTGGATAAATTTTTGTATGTTTACATGCACACATCAGGCTTCATAATCGTTGGAGAGGTTCTGGGAGAATTGAAGTCGTGGCTGGACATAAAAGTCCTATCTCCGGGGCACACAGGACAGAGATATCCTCCAATACAATAGTCAAGCAATATGAACAGAAACGTGCTGGTTGTTATCATAGCACACAGGTGAATTGGACTGTGTTCACGGCAATCGGTAAAGCTATCCTTTACAAATAGCGTCACTATATTTAGTAACCGTATCCGTGATATATTCGTGGCTACGTGTATACAAGTATTTTGTGTAGTTAATACCAGCCTTAAAGTCTACTTATTTTCGCTATATAAATCTGATTGTTTAGGTCGACAGAGAAATGAACCTCGTGTTAGTAAGCACTAACAAGATCAGGCTATCTACATAAAAACATCTGTGATATGTTGCATGTTTCTCTTTGCAATTGCAAGTACTATCTATGTACATCGATGCAAATATTTCTGGTGCATATCTGGTCTTTATGTGGAAGTAGTTAAAAGTTTTAAAACGGGTGAGATGTCATCGACGTCGCGACACGCAAATATATCTTTCCTGTAATCAAAGCAAAACATTGAAACAGATATTATGTGTTGTAAAATAATGGCTTAGAAAACGTATGTTAATAACATTGGCTTAGGTACCAGATATCGTTTCAGCTCACCACTATGCACGCCTCGGGTCTAGTTTCAAAGATGTCACGGAATTATAACGTACACAATAGCTGGAAAGCGCAAAACCACTGTCCAGCATAGTTGCACATCCAGTATATGCTTGCTATTTTCTCATAATCATGTTACTATAGCGGCGGTTCCTTCTTCCTCGACGAGCTTAGTTGGCAGTGTATAAGTACTGCAGCATACCTTTGTCTTTGACTCATCAACGCCACAACCGACGGAGACAAAGACATGTGATCAAAGCAAAACATTGAAACAGATATTATGTGTTGATGGCTTGGAAAACGTATGTTGATAACATTGGCTTAGGTACCAGATATCGTTTCAGCTCATCACTATGCACGCCTCGGGTCTAGTTTCAAAGATGCCACGGAATTATAACGTACACAATAGCTGGAGAGCGCAAAACCACTGTCAAGCATAGTTGCACGTCCAGTATATGCTTGCTATTTTCTCATAATCATGTTACTATAGCGGCGGTTCCTTCTTCCTCGACGAGCTTAGTTGGCAGTATATAAGTACTGCAGCATACCTTTGTCTTTGACTCATCAACGCCACAACAGACGGAGACAAAGACATTTGCCTTTGTATCTACTTCTATAATTGAAGGGGCACATAAGAGTCATTGCAGCGAGCTTCCATCCCGGTGGGGATGCTTTATGCAGGTGCATCCATTATTACCCTCTTTCCCAACCGCCCCCCTAACAGCTTGCGTAGCAACAAGCACTTATATATAGCGATAAAGTTTATTCGAATCACGAATGTCAAGAAGTTGGTGCAGAAAATACATTAAAAGTAACATGGCACGGTGATCGCGGAGGATCCTGAC